TAAATCAGAAACCTGTACAGATTTGTAAAAAAATAATTAATACCTTAGTACCATAAATACATGTTAAATGATGAAATCATGGAAGTGGCTTGACTGATACCCATAAGTGCAGATGGTTCACTTTTCTAAGATATCTACAAAGGACAGGGCAGGTAATGTTGACATTTATTTTATAACAGTACAAAGAAACACAAGCACTTCTTGAATATTCAGAAAATCTTCAGGTAAATCCAAACACCATTTAGAGTAATCTAGACCACTGCTTGTTAGACTCATGGGCACTCAGGAATTCACACTGAGTTTGTTTACCACTCAGAGATCACCAACCAAGTTACATATTCTTGTTTCTATAAACTAAATGTCTAAAATTACTGACTCTTACAGCTGAAATTTAAGGAATCATGAGGATTTTAAAATCCAAATCCCTTATATTACTAGTTAAATTCACAGGTGAAAATGACTGAGTCACTGATGTTGGCAAAATTCTCTCCTGACTTGGAGATGTGGCTTAGTACACAGACAATGTATCATCTGAATTCTTTTCCTAGCATTCACAGTGAGTGGCTCACAACCACCTATGGCCTCTATGGGAACCTGCATTTATCATACACACACACACACACACACACACACACACACACACCCCACAAAAATAAATGTAAATCTCTAGAGCAATCCACTTTTGGGAACCTCAACCCACATCAAGCTTTTTTTCCCCCCATGTTTCCTGCTTTACTTCCTCCTTCTTTCTCTTCCATCCTTTATTTTTATTTCCTGTTTTTCTTTTTTATATTTTTTGCTTTTTCAGTGTCGTGCATCACTAGCTGAATGTAAGAGTTGTCTCTCTTTGATATAAAAAAAGACAGGAGTAGATTTTAGTATCAGCGATTAACATGAACTTTGCTGATTATCCATGATATCAAGCTACTCTATATGTCTGAAATTTATTTCATTATTTATCTACTTGTATGTGTATTTGTATGTCACATATATGCATTTGAGAAATGTGAAAAGACATAATCCTCATAATTTCATTACTATGAGATATTGAAAGTGGCTCATTCCACTCAAATTATGAAAAATACAGTCTAGTAAAGGAATATTTATCATTACTCAATGAACATTTATCAAATGTCTAATATGGTCCAGAAAATGCATGGAGAATATATTGCTGAAAAATTAGTCTTCATCTTGTAATTTGAAAAATAATCAATATTTTTATTGTTAATATAATTGCACTACAGACTTAATATATATTAATAGGTAGATTTTTATGCAATGTGCCCTCTACTACTGCAAAGCGTAGAATGAGAATGAACAAGTAGATCAGTGGCTACATAATCCAAGCCAGAAACATTAACTGCTGTGAGGAGTCAAACAGTGAGATAGGAGGATGTCTGATATGCATGAATTTTATGAGACTGCAAATTGTCTTAAATGGGAACTTCATAGACTTTCATTTAGGTATAGTACAGAGGAATGATTTTCGTGACGCTGAAATAATGACCTTTTGGGGTCACTGCTTTTCACTACGGGTGCTCTGAAATATGTGTATATTTTGTAATCTTTTAGCTTCTTCCTCTAACATTTCACCCATGGAGTCCATTCATCCGTCCTGTTATGTAAGAAACACTCCTTTTTGCTTCTTAGATTTTCTGAAATTTCTCATGAGTGTCCTTTTCTAAAATCTCTAGTAATCTGTAACTTCTTAACTCTCCTGGATTTAGTCCGTGTGCTTGAATAAAGACTAAATGAGGCTCTACTAAGAGAGTAAAACCGTGACAAGCTGAGGCACAAAAGCTGTGTGGGCCCGTAGAGCAGTGATGGCACTGGCTCTGGGATGCACAGAGCTGGGGAGATGGTAAGCACGTGCAAGGGAGGAAGGAAACCTGGACAGTTAAAATGACAGCAGCTCTCCATCTCTCTCAAAACGCAGAGGTGGAGGGGACTGTTTAGTGTCATGTCAGAAATGTTTTCTGCCACCATTGTTGTGGAGATGATGAATAGAGGAAAGAAATAAACAACAGAGAGAGAGAGAGAGAGAGAGAGAGAGAGAGAGAGAGAGAGAGAGAGCAGACTCCTAATATAGAATGAGAAGGAAGTCTAGATGAGGGAGCAATGCTAGTAAAGACAGTACTTCAGTGTATTCTGCTTGACTTGGCTATCACAAATTATTAAACTATGATGTTACACTCTACGGTCTGGAGTTTACCATAGGAAAGCATTTGGAAGGCAGGAGGTAATAGAAGTGTCAGTGTTTTCCAAGATATATATATATATAAATTGCTCTGGTATCTTCTTTAGTGAACCCTCCTTTCTCAAGGGAAATCTATTTGGTTTCAGTTGAAGGAACCCTAAACAACCTAAGGACAGCTATGTGAAGAAGACATGACTAACTAAACTACCCATTTCCCTGGCTGCAGTGATTGCTGTAGGCATGTCAGTAATTTAGAATCATCTCTGGAGATTTCTGGTAGAGCAAGCCAAGGGAATTCTCATTAGTCCCTGTTTCTGTGATGGGGGGATGTGAATTGGATGACTGGGACTTTTGTTTGCTTTATAGAAAGACTCATGAGGATATGAATGATGTCTGTGAATACAGGGTAGAGGCCAAGTAGACTTTGTATTTTTATTTATGGAGTTTTATTGCTTAAACCACTACTTGAGTTAATTACCTCAAAACCTAATAACAATGATGATTGTACTTGCTTACTTTTGTTGGGGGCTTAACAAGTTCCACATGTCTCTAACATGTATTGTTTTCATATGTTCCAAAATGCCAACAGTTCCAAGTATATGAATGGTAAAGTGACTTTAACAAACGCCACAAAAACAAGAATTCACATTTACTTTTCTATGAAGAATACGGGCATAATCTTCCATCAGATAAGAAAAAAATGGTGCAAATATGACTGTGAACACAGATGAATTCCCAATCTGAGAGATTCTAAGATTCCACAAGTGCAAGTATCTCACCAGTATTCTCAGTAGTAATTCACACAGTAGAGTTAGTTGTTTATAACATGAAAAAAAGGGATGTCCAAGGCAGACTGTAAACTGCCCTGAGAGAATGAGTATCTCTACAATGAGAGAGCCTTACCTCTGAAATGCCAAATCAAAACACTGTGCCCTTGCTGAATGGACAGTTCTTTTTAATGGTTGTATATGATAGAGGCAGTTTTCATATTTACTTTTCTGGCTATTACACTTTGGCCATTTCAATCACATCGACTTTACAATGGACATTTCCAGCCCTGACTCAGAGAGTAAAATGCATTCTTTGCTAGTTTGCTTGCTTGAAATTGCACCCAGAAACAACAAACCACCAAAATTAACCACTTTTTTTTACATGAATAAGTAACTAAAAATCATTTTACCCACAAGAAATAAAGCATTTCTTTCCTGGTGGTTGGTGGACGTGTCTAAGTTAAAATTCCTTATTCCTCCCCAAAGACACCCAGACTTACAGTCAATAATATTTCTGATCCTTACCTATTAAAAGTTGCTAAGATACTTGTGTCAATCTACCAAAATACCAAAACTAGTAGAATGGTTTGCATCCTGTATTCACATCTACTTGGAAACTCAGAAAGTGAACTGATTTAGAACTAGGATTTTTACACATGTAATCACAACCAAACAATGTCATAACAGAGTAGAGTGGGTACTAAAGTTAGTAATAGATTTTTTTATACGAAAAGGAGATGGCATATAGTGACCTTAGACACAGAGGTGAGTCGCTATGAAGACACAAGTGGGAACTGGAGTGGTACTCCCCTAAGTCAGAGAGTGGTACTACCCCAAGGCAGCAAACACCAGGAGGAAAAAGGGAAGGATAATGTCCCAAACCTTCAGACAGAGCTGAGCTACGCTGATTTTATTTCTGACATGTTGCCTCCAGATCTTTGAGACAGCTAAGTTCTGCCATGCTGAGCTGCTTGGTCATTGGTACTTTCCCCAGTAGCTCTAGGGATTTATGTGGATGATTCATATTGTGCTTTAAATGTTAGGTACAAAGTTGTGCATAATAATGGTCTGCTTGAAAGTCATCTCAAGAAAGGCAAGTCACCAGGAATAAAGTTAGAACGTTGTGAGGAAATATTAATAAAATATCCCAAGCACATCTTGGACTCAGGGTGTATGCGAGGCAAAACTTACCACCTATTCATCTACGGGCAGTGTGGGAATCCATTAGGAATAGTGACCTGAAGCACTCCATTACATTATGAAATACCTTATCCCCTCCACTGCACTGTGTTCACTGAGGCAAGAAGATGGAATGATTACCTTAGAGAGATTTACAGCCACATATTTGCAGAGCTGAACTGAAAAGGGTTTTCTTTTTAATTTACTAGAGTTTTCTCTACAATAGTGTTCGTTGGCTTTAGTTCTTTTGCTGCTTCATTCATAGACTCCTTTTTTATATGCCTTATCATTTTATTCTTTTTTATTAAGAAATTTTTTTCATTCATTTTACACAGCAGTCAAAGATCCCCCTCTTCCCTCCTCCAGCCCTCCCAGCCTCCCCCTTGCCCCCCTCCCCGCAAGAAGGCAAGGCCCTCCCATGGGGAGGCTCATCCAGTAGAGGCAAGCCCAAGCCCTTCCCCATGCTTTCAAGAAACTTAAACCTGCTTGTTTACAAAGTAAATATCTACATGTATTCTTTCTTATCATTGCAGAAACATCAGATGTTAACCTTTAACATGGTCTTCTCTGCATGTAGAGAATGACAAATTTAAAAAAATCAGATTTAATAGTCAAACCTAGAGATAGTTTCCAATTATCTTGCAAAATAAAAATCAAAGAAATGAAGTCCTTTGTATTTCCTAAGCTCATTGCAGCTCTGAGACAGTGACTCTTATTGTCGCTTTTCTTCTCCATTACTAGGCTACCGAAGCTCAACTCAGCATTGAAATTCTGCAAACTTCTGGTAAAGTCCTATGTGCACTTGTTGTGTATTCTTCGGTTAATGTACAATTATCCTGTAACATGAAAATTACCTCATTCTGTAAGTCACGGATCATCTTGCTCTTTCTTTCCACTTCAGTCTTCAAAAAATTAATCTGAAAACAAATAGAATATTATGGATACACATTCTCAATATATTACCATGTTTTTTTTTTACTTTATATCATTTCGAGGTATACTGAAATTATTATAGTTTTAAATGTAAATATTGAAAAAGAAAGGATTAAAAGTATTCATTAATCGGAACCTTAATTTCCTTGGTCTTTGTTCAATTTGTTCATTATATATATATTATTATGAAAATAGTGTTCATTATATTAAAATGCGTAGGTTCTCAAGAGCATAATCATAATTTATATTAGTGAAATGTATTCATGTTCATTTTATTTAATACCAATTAATCTACATTTGTTTTTTTAATTAATTATGGAACTAATAAATTTGAGTTACTGAAAACAAAAAAAATTAATCAAGGTGATAAAGATCACAGTAACTGATATAACTCCAAATACAGTGCATTTAAGTAATTTGGGATCTTACAAAGAGGCACAAGGACAGTGGTCAGCTCTACCATCTACATCCATCCTTTCATGGTAGCTTCCATTATCATTATTTCTCAGTTGTATGCATGAGAAATCCACAACCCAGTACAAATTACCCCAGATTTTGACTCCAAAATACAACAGAATCTACAGTCTTTTCTATGCTGTTTCAACTAAGGCACCCAGAGAGAGCCAGCTGCTCTGTAGCTCAGGTGGGTAGAAGATGTTGTTGACTACCATTTAGGATGTGGAAGTCAAATGATGTACTAAGATGATTAGCAAGAAGAGAATAGCAGATTTCAGAGACATGGAATGAAGCCAGCGTATGTGGATATCTGAGTCATATAGGTAGAGAGGTAGAATGATTCCGAATGGAGTCTCTAATGTCTTTAAGAGCTACAACAGCTTTACTACTTTATAGAAGACCCATAGCACCTGACTCCTGATCTTTGCTTTCCATAAAGGGCTGCTGGATCCTTACATTACCTGAAAGTGCCCCATCCTTAAGACAATCCATGAATATAACAGCTTCATCTGTTACTGAAAACTCAAGCCAAACCATTTGATAGTAATGACATATATAAAACAGGAAATGCTTAAAAACTACTGGGTCTATTGTTTTGGTCATTAATTCTCCAGGTAAATTTGAACTACGGAGATGCTTATGTCAAGGAAATACCACTAACCACACTCACTGCCCCATTAGGTAGAGAATTCAAGACCATGGGTAAACCAAAATGATTACCTGGAAGAGCATGATGCTATTTAAAACTTATATGTCTGCAGAACCAGGGCATGACTTCTGATGGACAGATTTCATAGTTTATATGTAAGTATTTTGTTGGCAACAAAAACTTTAAATCATGAAATAGTTGAAGCAATCTTAATTTCATACATAATCTGCACCGATGCCAACCTTCATTTATTGATACTATTCAGTGCATTTGCATTGCTAAAATTCACATTTATTACAAATATACTGAAATAGATTTCAGTATCAGGCCTGTAATTCTTTAAATACTCCATACAGCCATAAAATCTTGAGAATATGAAACTCAAATATATTCAGAATATTGAAAAATATTAGCATTTTGAGATCACTGGCTTAGAATCCCAGCAGGATTTAACTTCCCCACAGAAATAAGCATTCCTAGTATTTACTTCAATAATGGTTTTCAGAGACAAAAATACCAAGTAGTTGCTGTGATCAAAGCATGGAGATGAGTGATTCTTTATGCTTGATGAGAAGAAAAGCTTTGAGGCGTCTTGCTTTAGAATTATGTCTCATCCAGGACAAGTCAAGCCATAAAAGTTAACAGGAGTCATGAAATGCATCCAAACGCTATTAATATCTTTAATTATCATGGTCACACCTGCTAGTTTGTTATCCCTGCTGTCTGCCAGGCTTTGCAGGGCAAACCCAAAGCTGAATAATTTCCCAATGCAACATACATGTAGAGATAAAAACAAATCTTCCTGTCTTTATAAAAATCATGTTGGAACATGATTATATCAAGGAGGATCTACTACTCATATAACACAAATTTTCAGAAATATGTTTTCTTTCACATTTTATAATTTAATAAACAATTTTTTTATTGTGTTTCATAGAATTTTATTTTGGACCAGGAAAAAATTCACTTACTGTAACAATTTTTTAGGAGAAGTGTAAAATCTTTCATTTGAATAAAAAAGTCACAATTCAAAATTCAATCAACGTCATTATAAAAGTGTATCTTCTCTTTAAATATCAAATGTTTAACTAAATTTATAGACTCAAATGTATTTCCCCATCAGAATGAGGGCAAGACAATTATAAAAAAATTATAAAGTTCTTGTCACAACTTTAATTACTACAGAAATATTAAAGGCAAAATAATTAGTGAATGATTTACAGCAGTAGAAATGTCCAACATACAAATGTGTTCAATGTTTAGCATAGAATATTTATGTAGAAAGAAAATTACCAAACTGCTCTGTTTGAGGTTTATCAATTTGTTCCTTCCATGTTTCCACAAACGATAGCACTTTACTCACTTAAAAGATGAAAAATTTGCATTGTGTGTTTGTCCCACATTTTCTTTCTTGGTCTGTTTACAAACACTGGGTACTTGCATGGTCTTCTGTGACAGGACTTCAGGGAACACGGGAGTGAGGAAAGCTCTTTGACGTATGCGTTTCATTTCCTTAGCATGCTTTCTGGGATGGTTAATCTTCATTTTCAGCTTTATTAGATTTAGATAACTCAGGGGAAATACCCAGAAGCCTGTCTGTAAGGGAATTTCCAGAGAGGTTTTATTGAGAAGGTACAACCCCACCTGAAGGTGGGTTGCACTACCCTAAGAGTTGAATGACTGAAGAAGAAATGAAACACAAATGGCTGAGAAGTACTTACAGAAATGTTCAACTCCTTAGTCAACAGGGAAATGAAAATCAAAATTATTTTGAGATTCTGTCTTGCACCAGTCAGAATGGCCAAGGTCAATAAAACAAATGACAGGTAACGATGGCAAAGTGTGGAGTAAGGGACAAACATTGCTGGTGGGAGTGCAAACTTGGATACTCATTATGGAAATCAGTAGGGAGGTTGCTCAGGAAGATAGGAATTGATTTTCCTTAAGGTGGACTGTACCACTCTTGGGAATATTCTCAAAGGACTCTACATCCTACTACAGAGACACTAGTTCACCAGTGTTCTCTATTCATAATAGCCAGAAATTAGAAACAGCCTAGATGTCCATTGGTGAAAGAATTGATAAAGAAAATGTACATTTATACAACAGTATATCACTCAACTGTTAAAAAATGAAATCATGAATTCCTCGGGTAAATGGATGGAGTTAGAAAAAAAACATCATCTCGAGTTAGGCAACCCAGACCCCAAATGACAACATGGTATATATTTACTTATATGTGGATGGTAGCTGCTAAGTCTTTAAGCAAGTTACAATCCATATCATTACAAAGGTTAGGTATAGAGTTAGGAACTGGCATGCCAGGGGTGGGGAGAGGGTTGGATTACCTTAGGAAGGTCCTATAGAATAGAGAGTTATGGAAGGATGTTGGTGGGGGTGGGGGTAGGGGTGAGGTTGCTGGAACAATAGGAACAAACAGGAAGGAGTAGGAAGGAGGTCAGTGAGGAAAGAAATAGGGTGAGGGCCAGCAAAAACTGAGGGCCATTTGAGGGGTCATATGGGAACCTAACACAGCAGAAGCTTCCTAAAACACATATGAAGGTGATCTAAATGGAATAGCCAAATAATGGGGGAGATGGCACCCCAACTGAACATCTCTTGTCACCAAATGAAACCTCCAGTTCCAGGAATGGGTGACATCTAACAGAATTCATGGCCAAAGGGCTCCATGGGGACTCCCAAACAACCCAGGCTATTGCCAAGGCTGTTGGTTGCTCTCCACAAGCTGATGGTTAGGCCTGTTGCTGAAGACAACACCTACACAAATCATTAGACATGGAGAAGTCGAACTGGTGCCTACACAAAGCCTTCATCCCTACTGACCAGTGTTCGTGGCTCTTGAAGGTACTCTGCGCACTTCCAAAGGAGAAAGGTAAACACTAATCCAGCTACAAAACCTTAGATCTGCAAGGATGACCTCCCTGCAAGAAGTGCTAGTGCAATAGTGGCACAAAGCCTTTGGGACCAACCAACCAATACCTGACTGGATTGAAGGTCCACTTCACGAAGTGGAACCCATGCCTGACACTGCTTGTGTGGCCACCAACCTGAGACTAGATAGATAGGCCAGAGACGTTAAGGGAAAACAAAATACTACAGTTATGCTGAAGGAACAAAGCAGGACAATGTCTCCTAACAACATTCTGCTCTACTCAGATCAGTGTCATCCTCTGCCATCATCAAAGAAGCTTCCCGCTACGGTAGATACAGATCAGTACAGAGACCCACTGCTGGGCAAGTGTAGAGAGACCATCCTAAATGGGATGTCTCCATCAATTTCCCCTTTTCAGGGCTCAAGAAAGCCTCTGAGGAGGCAGAAAGATTTTAAGAGCTGGAAGGGGTGGAGGGCACCAAGGAAATAAGGCCTCCTAAATGACAGCAGGACAGTGTAAATATGAAGTTACAGAGACGGTGGCAGCATGCACAGGGCCTGCACAGGTCTTGGCTAGATGGGGTCCTAGTGCTGAGAGGGGAAGTGGACATAAGCCCACATCCTTAAACCAGAAGCTGTCTCCAATTGATAACCGCTTACAAATGAAAAATTAGTTTCCGCCCACAGTCTCACCGCATATACAAACCGCTCGGAAGGCCAGGCCCAATGCCCACCAGTAGATGGCCAACACAATGTGAACTCAGTGACACTTTTGAAGGTTCTTTACTCATAATACTTTGTCAGGGCTTTTGTTGCTTTCTTGTTTTGAACCTTACAGGTCCTTTGGGTATATATTATGGTTTTTGGGTTTTGTGTTTTTATGTGATTTCTGCATGTGCAAATAAACGTGCTTATCTCTGTATCTATATGTGTTTCTTGAGGTTTATGACTCTTTTTGCTTCTGTTTTTGTTTGTGTTTTTGTCCT